CTTCAGCCCAGAAGGAAAGCTGCAGTCCAAGTGAACTACCAGGGAGGCAGTAAACACAGGAGCCCCATATCGAATTAGGGGAAAAGTGTGATTAGTAGGCACAACCACTATCAAGACAGGAGAAGATGTGGCGCTCCTTTCGTGCTACAACCCCTGCACATATAAATAGCCCTGCGTGTCACTCATGTGGCTGAGTAGCCCCACAACTTTGCACCCGTTCCTCGCGTGTGGCGTCGATACCCCCTTTACCAGCTCCCACACTCCTTCACCCGTATCTGGTTCTCGGGACTCGTGTCTTTCCGCAGGGTGTACTGAGAGTATCGTTACTGTCCTTATCACTGCTGTGCACTCGTCGCAGCCGCTACTGTGGAGAGTGAGCGATCAGACAGCCATGAGTCCCAGTCAGCCAGCTGCCTGGCACAGAGAGGTGTGTGAAGGGAAGGGTAGGAGATCCGAGCTGGATTCCAGGATCTGACGGGATGGAGGGGGGAGGAGACGGAACATGCTGAGCTCTTTGTTTGTGTGGGAAACCCCCCTCAGAATGGGCTCCCTGCTCACCCTAATTTCATTTACTTAACTGCAGCTGGTAATTCGATATTTAGGGTAATGCGGGTGTTTGGCCGCCATTGTCCGCCGCTACAGGTCGCTCTGAAGAAGGCATCCCTGTCAGCCCTGTCCGGAAGCAGCCTGGCTTCCATAAAGCCACACTGAGTGCTGATTGAGGCCCGCGCTCTGCTCCCCAGGCCCCGGCGGGCCTGACCCCTGCCCCAACAGCGGGGGCAGCCTTATGTTCCCCCTGCAGAAGATTCACCTTTACAGTAAATAACTTACATCCCACAGGAGCTCAGTAGCAGGGGTGTAAAAAACCATAACGTGAAAGGCACTAGATGGTGATAAATATTGTGGAGGGACCATAGGATTGCCTGTCCCAGCTAGCTTGGGAATACCTGGGGATCTTCCAGAACGAGGTCATGGAAGGAGAGGTCTGGCGCCCCCGAGAGGTGGTCTGAGGATGAGCAAATTGGAGAGATGGATGGAGGGATAGCATTCACTCTGTGCTGATGTACTTAGGTCATCTTACCAATTAAGAAAATTCAACTGTGAATAATTATTTTGGAGCCATAACTTGAAGGGAAATTGATTTGATTAGTATACTGCACTGTTTGTGGCTGAAGCTTTGATTGCACAGCGTCGCTATTAGCTCTTATGGAAGGGATGCCTGATTGAGTTGGACATTTTCATATCTGCAATCACCAGATGCTTCTGATACTTTCACTCCCAGTGTCAGTAGGGGTGATCTGCCTAGTGAATAACAGCTCTGCTGTTTGTGCATAGCCAGGAAAAGGTTATGGAGAGCTTGAGTGTGTGTGTGTGTGTGGATTATGTTTACATTACATTGTAGGGAACAAATGTTCCCCACAATGCGATAAAAACTTATTTTGATGTTGTGGGGACCATTTTTCAGGGCCCCACAAAGATCTTTGAATGCTATGAAAAAAAACAAAAGTTTCGTCTTTCGTTTGGTTACTTATGGTTAAGGTTAGGGCTGAATATGGAGTTAAGGTTGTCATGTTGGAATTATGGTTTTCCCCATAGAAACGAGTCCCCACAAAGATATAATGACAAACCTGTGTGTATGTGTGTGTGTGTGTGTGTGTGTCTGGCGGTCAGGCCATGGCGGAGAAGGAGAGGGAGGTGAGAAAGTGTGTCACTGTGTTGGTGTGTGGGAATGCCATGCCACAGAGCCACAGACAACGTGGCAGCAGAGAGAGAGAGAGTGAGAGTGAGAGAGACATGGCTTTAATCACTCCAGAAGGACTGCGGGGGGAGCTTTAAAGGCGAGTTTTAATCACTCAAATGCACGCTGTTATAATGACTCCAGGGATACAGCTTTGAATTGGTTAAGATATTTTAAACACTTGTGACAGTGTGTGGAAAAATCTGCATTTTCACTCTCCTAGATCTGTCTTTTCGGTCCCTGCATTCCCGCAGCAGAGACTTCAATAGAAGCAGCATGGAGAATGGAGAACTTGGGAATGTATGCAGAATGCAGGTGGCGCATCCTGCAGCCCAGCTGACGACTGCGCTTCTCAGTCTGCCGGTGCATGAATGACCATGGACTGGGTGCGGTTTGTAAGCGGGCCGTGTTGGAAATGCAGGAGATGGATGGGCTCCCCACAGTGTGTATCTCCTCCCTGCTTTACATACAGAGATGGAGAGAGTCCTCGGGGGGAGCCTCCCTTATTCAGCAGCTGCCTGGGGGGGTGGGGGTGGGGGTGAGGGTGGGGGGGCAGAGCGTCTCCCAGGACGGGCTGATGCCTCTTGATCCCTTGGAGGCATTTCTGCAGTGGTCAGCAAAGATACCCTTGGAGACCTAATCCCCCTCCCCACCCTTGGAGGAATGGGATATTATTCTAGGGAGGGGAGCATTCACATTCAGCCACAGCAGTTATTAAGTCACTTATAAAATCTCATTAAAACGCATTGTTAAAGACCATTTAAAATGGTGTCTGGACAATGTAGTTTGAATGATGTCTCTTCTATATGGCAACATGGCCACCAGTCTCCTTCCTTTGTAAGTACTAGATACCGAATTAATGCGTCTGTCCATTTTCCATTCACTGGATGAACAGCATTAAGCAAAGTTATGGAAAGAAGTGTAATTTCCTAAGTGACTTTTTATGTTCATAAATATTGTCCATTCCTGGTGTAATGTGTCCCATTGTCTTTTGAAGCTTCATGCCAGCTATGTTTGGTCGGTTAAATGGATTAACTGACATTTCCAGTGTAACCCCTGGAATTGCTACACTGCATAAGCAGAAGCTGTTCACTCTCAGCCCAGAAACCCCTGGATTGGCATTTCAACAATCCCCCATCCCAGACCCTGCTGCTAATTTCTGAAAAGGAGACATCCAATGAGTGGAACGTGAAAGGAGGTGTGTAACGAGGGAATCCAGCTGGATCCCTTGTATTAGTGGCCAAAGATCCTTAAAACAGATGGAAATCCTAAATATGATACCACTGAACCACATTTAAAAAGCCGCTGTTTAACGGGTAAATGTGATTTGTGAGATTGAAACGTAAACAGGTAACAGGTCAACCATGAACAAAGCCGTATGACAGCCAGATATCAAGCTGCACGTGATGTTTGATTTCATAATGAAATGATGAATGTGTGCGCTTTGGTATGGATTTCCAGGATCAGATCAGTAATGACAATCACTGCATCTTTCAGTTAACTGCCAAGTATGAACATTTAGCACAAATGAACTGCAGATTGTTGCCTGATGTTACTTAAGTGAAATGTATCCACCTTGGATTTGCAGATCCCAGCCCCCGGGTCTGTGTGTGCATATTCTCCCCATACAGTGGCGGTTCTACACCAATTCAATTCAACCTGGGGGGGGGGGAGTGGGGGCAGACTGGGGCCAGTTAGGGTGAATGCATTTGACCTTAATGTCCTCCAAGTGGTGGTACACTAGATTGCCAGCATTAGGAATCAGAAGACGATAAAACCAATTTAAGTTATTTATTCAATGCTTTAGAGTGACATTTTACAGTTTTAGAAAATATGTAACTCACTCCGATTTCTTGTTTAGACTATCTTGCTTCCACAAGATTCCATCAAGATTTATTTTTTTCTGTTGTTAACTTATCATCAGCCGAAGTGACTCGACCACCCGCTGCACCCGTGTTAAGAGTCTGTCAAGATAATGTGCTTATGTTTGTGTTTTGACGTTGCCAGCGCACATAATTTTAGCCCACGTTTATAAATGTAAATAATAATAATAATCAGTGTTTCCCTTACCATTATATTAGGGGGGCACCCTGCCCCCCCCAACGGCACCTCACAAGTTAATTTTATTTTCTATATAGCGCCAGATCACTTCAGTAGTCATTTAAGGTTACCTTTCCTATAGAACAGGTCTATACATTGTCCTTTTATTAAACAAACTAAATAGCCTTATGTTATATTTCTTATTTACACAACAGCTTGTCATTTTTGTCTCTACACGGTCGCGCGTTCACAATTCTCCTCTGTTCTCTGTATCGCGCATGGCGGAGTTTCGCCCCGATGCGTACACACAGAGACATGTGCACACACACACAGGTGAGCACACTCACACCAGCGGACAGAGAGCGCGCGTTGGAAAATACCACGAACAGGGTAATAAATACCTTTCACAATGGGATTTTCTGCTTTAAACTATCACTATTTTAAGCTATCAGCTATCACTTTTAAAGCCTAACAGTTAATGTATTTGCAGGTCACGACAAACATCTGCAATAGGCTGCAAGGAGACCTTGCATCTCTTGCTGCATCAGATGCTTGCTGATCTCAATAAATGGGCCAGACGTTTCTGACTTCCCATATCAAGTGGCTCTTGAAATGTTCTTCCAGAAGCCCAGAAAGATACAATGCAGTGACAAAAGCTGCACACTTTATGGATAAAATTTTGTCATAAAAAGAAACGTTCAGTTGTTATATTGACTGCTGCAACACATGAACGCCATTAATCCTGTCGGTGTCCGGTGTTACTGGGGGGGCATTCATGTTGTCACGGGGGTAACTGGCCAGTTCCCTGCCCCCCTATAACTGCCCCTGGCCCCATGGCTGAGTAGGTTTCCTCTGGTTCTTTGCTGCCACAGTCTAAAATCACACAGTTAGGTGAACATGTGTTTCTGAAGTTGTGTGTGGTTATGTGTGAGTGTCCTGTGATGGACTGGCAGCCTGTTCAGGGTGTCACCTGCTCTCTGAGACAGGATCTATTACAACCCACCACTGTATAACCTATAATGGATGGTACTAATCAGACACATTCATTCCTTTGCATTAGGTGCAAAGCATGTGTCAAGTAACTCATAAAAAAATTTAAAAACCCTAATTCACTCCACATACAGTAAAACAAAGTCTTTGTTTTTGTAATGAAAGCATGAAGATCAGTCCTTTTGAAAATAAAGCTTTAAACCTAATGGTTTTAAAGAGTTACACACTTTTATTTCAGCTTTGTCCCTTTTACAAGTCAGCTGTATTAATCAGTGCCCTGGGGCAGTCACCAGGCCTCTGCATTAGCTATAGGCCACTTAGCGTCCGAGACCTCGGACCGGCTCCTTCTCTGCCGATCACTGCGCTGGCTTTGTTTCTCATCACATGGGAAGTGGGGGTTAAAATTATGGGCCAGCTTTGAAAAGTCCCTCGACCTGAAAACTCCAGATGCCTGGCACGGGGAAATCAGATAGGAGTCTTTGATGTTTATCACTGCCCTGGAAACAGAGAAGGTTGCCTGCGAGCCTTTTTTCTTTTCTTTTTCCAAAATCGGTCAGCCTATTTTTTTGTGTGTGCTTGATGGAAAAGACATAATCTACACGTGTGGCAAGTTTGTATTGGTATAAACGGAGTTCATTCTGTCCTCCGAATGGGCTGCCATAGTGGGAAATGGACCGCTGATGATCATGTGACTAAAAAAGCCGTGCGCTCCACCCTGCCTGGGGCAGCTCTGCTATAAAGGTCTGGGGGACAGCTGTGAGAGGGTAGCAAGGCGGCCTTGTCTGGGCCGTGCTGATGGACATCTGCAGGCCTTTATGCACGCAGCGGAAGAGCAGAGCGGGATTTCCCCTCCTTTCCTGAGATTCTCTACTGAAATTCCGTTGTCATAAATAGTACAAGAAACTGTGCCGTGAGTTTGCAGTCGTGGTGACCTGCAGGGAGATGACATGCAGAGATAAGAATTGAATTGTCAGTTTTTTTAGCGATTAAAAATGTTAAAACACTTGAGTCAGTGAAAATACATTGGGATTTAATGCACAGCGGGGATATATTATTAATAACAATAGGTGTGGGTTTGATAGCAAAGAACCTTATCCTGTAGGGGTTAGAATGTTTTATATCAGGGATGGGCAGTGTGTATGCAGGCTTTTTGGGTAACCTTTAGGTCAGCTGTTCAAACCCAAGTGTGAGGACTCTTCAGCCAATCAGTCTGCTAATTAGTAATATAATTAGGGAGTTGCAGTGAAAACCCGCATACATTTCTAAATAAGATTGCCATACCTTTGGTATATAAGTCTTCATATACATGAGGAAAACAATTCATGCCTTTTAATGCTGAAGTGACACCATCACATTCAGCATCGTGCCCCTAGTGTCAGTCCTGAGATGTGGCACTGAACCTGGGGGTTTACAGGAGACAGGCATTAATGTTCAGGGCTGCAAACTTAGGGTGCTGGGAATAGATGCTTGACCTTTGGAACCAATTAAAAATGATAACATGGCAATTACTGGGCAATTCATTTTCATTAAGTGTCCGCCTAGTGAATAAGTTTTGTGGACTGAATTAAGATTAGATAATGAGGGGTTCCTCTAATTCAGGGCTGGGGAACCTGATCCATGGAGGGCCAATGTGGGTGCCTGTTTTTGGGATGACCTCTCAATCAGCCAATGACAGTGGGTCTCCAGGATTGGAATTGAGAACCACTGTTTTATTATTGGCTGATTGAGAGGCCATCCCAAAAACCCGCACCCACATCAGCCGTCCATGGAACAGGTTCCCCACCACTGCTCTAATTAATGAATTTATTCTCCAGTCCAAGTTTTAGGTGTTAACCAGTCCTTTATTGAATCAGCATCTATCACCTTAGCTGTAATTGCTCTGCACATTGAAGGAAAGGATTTGGCTTGTATTGCCATTAAAGTAAAAATTATGTCATTGAGCTGAATGCAGTACTATTCAATTCAATTCAATTTTATTTATATAGCGCATTATCACAACATTACATTGTCTCAATGCGCTTTACATTTCTGCCTTGTAAGGACCCCCCATTGAGTAAGCCAAAGGCAACGGTGGCAAGGAAAAACTAGTACTAGTACTAGTGTGTAGTGTGGGTATTTCCTGAGAAGCAGTGTGGATTTGCCTGATGTAAAGTGGCAGCCCCACTTAACCTCCAGTCCATGCTGACTGCTCGGCATCAAAAGATCAATGAGCAGCTGGGGGGGGGGGGGGCTTCATGTTTTGCATATGACCTGGAATGAATAGGAGGGGGGTCATTGTGTCCTGGAAACCAAACAGCCATGACTTCCCCTAGCATTATAAGACTTATTTGACCTTAACTTGTTTTACGATTGGCTGCTGACGCATCATTTCTGAGAGTTTTCTGGGTATAGTGGTAACCTTGTTACATAATAAGAATGATTTCAGAAGAAAGCCGCCATTACATCGCAGCACCATACAGTGTCACCGTGTGCATATATGTGTGTGTATGTTCTGTGGTAATAGAACGGCGTCAGTGACACTGGACAGATGGCGCCGTCTCGGGGGAAATCAGGGGGGTAAATCTCTCCATTTAGAGTGGGCAGCTTGCGCCAGGGCTGCTGGGAGGTGCTACTCTACACACCCGGCGGGGGTGGAAAAATCAGGAGGGGGAGGCAGAGGGGGAAGAGATGAGCCTGTGTCCGGTAATCCTCATTCACAGGCAGCGGAACCGTGTAAGGTCAGCAGCGTGTGGACATGAGGACCTGTAACATCCCGGATAATATTATGGGATATTCCAGAAAGGGAGGGAGATGCAAACATGTATATATATATGTATGTATATATATATATGTATATATATATGTATATATGTATATATATATATATATATATAT